CAATAACATTTGGTAAAAATTATACAATATAAATCAATATACTCAAGACGTAGAGTGTAGATGCGGAAATTAAAAAAAAATATATAAACAATATTTATGTTTGTCTTATATTCAAAATATACATAGTAAAATGTGTAAACAAAAAAAAACAATTCTTTTAATGATAAAAATGTATATGTAAGTCGGAGACGCTTTCATTATAATCAATGCAGCTGTAAAAAAAAACAAAACAAATAAAAATATGAACGAATGGCACTTTCCTTAAGTTTTTTATAATCCATAACTATTAAAAAATAAACAAATGAACCTTATTTAAAGTGAGGTTATTTTACCTCCACCAGAAACTCGTGAAACTCAATTGATACCAACTAAATTTAAACAATAAAATTTGGTAAGCAACTAAATTCTAATTCGATTTATATTGGCAACATTGCGAAATCTTGTTACAATTAGTGTCGTCTCACTTATTACATTAGCCCTTAGCACTATTGACTGCAATCCCAAATACATCACTGGTTTTTTTCTTAACTAGTCAGTCAAGACTACCCTTCCTGCTTTAACGTTTTTAGGTATATATTAAGATAACCATTAAGGAATATTGCCACGGTAAAAAAAATATACCTTGTGTATTTTTTCCAACCTAAAAAAAATATTTTGGTGTTGATTGAAATATTATCTCAATATTTCAGTCAACGTTTTTAGTCTTTAATACTTATTGCACCAATTCACTTACTTTTAATAAACCTATTTAGCAAAATAAACTAAACAATATAATACTATTATAACTTGGTAAAAGTTAGTAGTTTAGCAGATGACTTTTCGTGATTTTAAAATTAGTGTTTGTAGAAAATATAAGATCGTGAGATACAATTAATTTTACGTTACATTTACATAAAAAAAAAACAAGAAAAAGTACCACAAAATTTTACGCTTAATTTATTATTATTGGGTGTCATTATGCATTCATTTTATTACTTTAGTATTATTTTATTTAATGAGATCTACAAAGTATTTTAAATTTTCCCGCGACACCACTTTGATATTAAACTGACTTTGGTAAGTGACTAGATATGTTAAGTTGGCAACGCTGCGAAATCTTGTTACAATTAGTGTCGTCTCTTATCCTGACAAATTAGTATGTTTATTTTTTAATTCAAACTAAACTAGGTCCTATTTTGTTTATTGTTTTATGGGGCGCAACACCAAGTAATTACCGACCTTCTACAAAACCATTTGCACGTAGTAAAATTTTCCTTAAATAGGCGACCATAAAATGGTGTCTTATTAGGTATGTGTTACGCAACTGATATTTGTAATACTTACTTGTAACAAATAGAAGGTAGGTCCGTTTAATTAGAAATAAATCACGAAAGATGGGTATATCGTCAAGAAATCGACGCCTTTGAATAAGTATTATTCAAGAAAATTATTATTTTTATTTTAACTTATTGAGAATAGTATAATTTGCAACGAGAGATGGAAATAATTGGACAAGTTTACGAACCAAAGAAATATAGAGGGTCGATGTATGGAAACGGTCTATTATCTCCTAAGAGACCTCATAAGACACGGACGATTTAGGGTTTTTTTTAAATTTATTACAATAAAGAAAAATTAAGTATATGGCCATGATATGATAGTTTTTGGTTATATTTTTTCAAAAAAGTGGTTGCCGTACAGGAATTAATGATCTTATCGACAAAAAAATAAGACTGAATTCCAAAATACAAGTAGTTGTTTATAAACTTTTGCAGTAACCACAATTTTCAGACGACATAGTTGCTAAGAATTATTTGGAGAGTTCAATAATCATGTGGAATCGATGCCGTACATTTTTCAATGACTTGAAACAATGGTGGCTAAAGTAGAGGGTTGCGCCCTACATTTCTAACTCCTGTATCAGCAGATACGTACGGCGTCACTAAAAAAGTTATCTATGTATCAATCCGAAACTTGCAGTATAAAATAAATAAAAACCGGGCCAAAATTTTCCTGACTTCCGGTATTGCTATTTTTGTACAACATTAGGTCGAGGTTAATTTTTTTGTATAACCTATATACTTTAGAAATGCCGTTCAAAAATGTTTTGCCGAAAACCACCCCCTTTGGTGGACGGGTTTAGCTTACCTGTGTACTCAATTATACCAACAAGAATTGACGGCATAGTTTCTAAAGTTATATGGGTTATATGTGGTAGTATTGATTTATAAGTAATTCATGTGGGTCAAATGACCCCTTGAAAATTTCCAGTGGGCTTGTAGTTTAATACGTTCCCAATCGGGAGGCAATTCATGAAAAATATCCACTACTTCGTCTTCTATCACCATTTCCTATGATCAGTAAAACTTCAATACGCTTAGTTCCACTACTAAATGTATATTTGACATGTGTTGTCAAGATAATCACGATTGAACAAAAGAGCGACGCGGCGTTGTTATGGAGCTAGAAACTTTCCTGGTAGCAAAATCTTGCACAAGACACTTATATAAGACTGCTGTGTGCCTACTGCTGAAATCAGCATCTGGTTTACTGCAAGATTCATTGTGCAAATGTCCTGATCAAAGCTTTCAATGGATTTGTTTCAGGGTACTTGAGCACAAAGGGGTAAGACATATTGTACTTGACTTATACTAATTTACCCCTTTGAACTCAAGTACTTTTGGTTAAGTCTGGTGCAAGTATTGTAAAAATATCTTGCATAAGAAACTATATAAATTTCAGCAATAGACACAAAACAATCTGACACAATCTGGCTATTTCAAGTAAACTTGAAACAACTTGTATTAGAATTGCACACGATTGTGCTACCAGGGTTTCAAAGGTAACTTGATGGACTATAAACTTAATGGTCAGATATTTTTGTATATCTCGGAAACGGTTAATGTACATGTACATGTACATGGTAGGACAGGTTAAAATAAAATTCATTGATAAGAAGGTTTATTCGTTTTCATTTAATCAAAATACTTCGGAAATGATATGTGTAGATATTGTGTAGAGCAAAATCAATTTTTTACTATGATTGAGCGATTTTGGGATCCATTGTCACCTTAAATATACATTTTAGAAGATACTGGCCTGTCGTGTATATATTGTGACTACGGTATTGTTTTCAGTTGGTCAAAACACGTTGGAAATCTTTAGATTAATTTGGACTTTTTTGTTTGCCTAATATTCTAATAATTAAAATGGCCGACCTTATAATAATATAATATTACGGGCCAAACTTTGACTAAGACTGTGCTGTATCGTTCATTGGCATCAGAGTGAGTAGCACCCACTACCGGAGTCTCCATCATTGCACTCGACTTTTGTTTTTTGTGTGCTAGTCTTATCAGCACGTAAATAAAGACCAACCTTTACTCACAAGCCCATAGAGAAACATGGAGACGTTAGGAGTGTTATGGACATAAACATTCGCGTCCTCAATTTAGGCCGAAAAATTTGTGTCAAAGTTAAGAGATTATCGTTTCTATTTCTCAGCGTGTGCACATTGTAAAACATAAACTAGCGATTGCCTAATTGAGAACAACCATAATTCGGCACGACCGATAAAGCGCGATTTGAAATTTTCTTTGTGATCTGGCGGGTATGTTATTAAACAATTACGGTTCATTATTCTTGTTTGTTTGCGGATTTCGAAAGGAGCGGGCCTTATTTTCTAAGGATGTGCCTAATGACGAAAGTCAGTTTTCGGCATGATAGAATAAGGCTAGATAAACACGCGACAGTGCTGCAAAGTAGGTTGCCGTACTTTGCCATGTTATGATAATTAACCGCACAGCGAGGAGAAAACGAAACCGAGCGGAGCGTTTGTTTACAAACTGTGTACGTTTTCGGGTGATTAGTCGCCTAAATACCTACATAGAAATAGGATTTGGTGCTTGTGAACTGGAAAATCTATTTTTAACCACTTCATGTGTGTGCAACCTGTTTTCTAAGTCCATGTAACTGCAGGTTGTTCCTTAGATCATTTAGATCACAAAGAATGTTAAATTAACCAATGATTCAAAGCTAATCAATTTTATTCAAATATTTTTGAACATATTTGATGTACACAAATGAAACTTTGCTTAAAAACACAGGCAAGACAGTATCTTTAGAGCCAGTGGCGGCGTGTGAACATTGATTGAATGTGTTCTGCTTAGGGTTGTTACATTAGTTGAATTGAATTCCGGGATATTAAGTGCCCGGAATTCTCGAAAAATTTCAAAATTTTCGAGAACGCGTTTTCCTGGCACTTCTGAATTTCAAGGAACAATCCAATTATATAAAAATACAGATTTTCACTGGAACGATTGGCACTTCTGAATTTCAAGGAACAATCCAATTATATAAAAATACAGATTTTCACTGGAACGATTTTTGAAATTGATACCTTTTTGAAATATCTATTCACGAATTACCTACTGACGGTATAAATAAATTGGAATATATTTTATTAAATTATTGAACATTGTTTATAAACAAAAAAATCGTTTGTGAAATTTACCAATGATTCAACGAATTTTAATTTTCCTCGCCGTGTTATGATTTTTTCTTTATCTTTTTTTTTATATATATGTACATTATATTATATTCCGGGAGTTATANACAACGGCTAGAGTTGTATCATAACTGCATAGGATATTATTACCTATCATATGTATAAATCTGCACACACTCCGACATTGTGCTTATCTTTTACATTGAATGATACTTTAATTATGTTATAACTATCTTGTTTCACAGAAGGTTCAACAGAGAATATTAATCACACCAATAATAATATATTTTTGATACGATAAACTTTAACAGATTGCGGTAGGTACTCAATTTATATGAAATAAAAAAAAATTTGTGATGTAGTTCCTAAATATTTTGTATATTAAAATAAAACAATATAACGTAACATATTTATTTACTGATGGTTGAAAATAATTATTTAATTTTGGTCTTAATGCAGGGCCTTGAATAATCCGTCCGTAATTTCTTTTCGTAAAGGCTGAACGGTAAGTTTCCTGTCTACGTTTCAGTTTAACATTTTTCGTTGCAACTGTTGAAGGAGATGTACTGCAAAGATATTTTCATTATTAAAGTTATCCATTAAAGTATGTTTTCATTGCCATAATACTCCTTCTCTTAGCACTACTATCAGTACTAGTGTTACCATTCGATGTATTCTGAACACTGAAAATAAAATTACTGTAAATATTATTTCTTAATTTATTAGGTCCGTATCAAACAATTTGGCAGGGTACGTATTTAACATCCTTAGCATTACTACTATTTTTAAATTACAAATCTTTATTACCTTAAATTCAGTTGTCTCTTCTTTTTACGTTGTACCTACTCGAACTTCAGTAACGTTATAGGTCAAAGATGATTCACTTGATTGTAACATCAATTTGGTCAAAGCTCCTGTATTAATTGAACTCGATAAAGTACTCTTGCTTAAAATGGAAGAAGATACACCACAAAATAATTTTATGGAAGGTGCAGAGTTGGGTCGTACTATTTTTCTTCCACAAAAGGGGAGAAAATCATCCGCTTTAAAGTGTTCAGAGCAAATTACGTTATTTTTTGTCCATACCCAATTTTCTTTTTCGATAGAAAGAACCTTGTCCTTGTCCAGTAAAGTTTCATTTCTAGGAAAGCTAGAAATAAAAAAATTACATGTTTACAATAAAAATTTAGAATAAAAAGTGGAAATATCTTATTTTTGTGTACAGCTACCTAAATATTTAGAAATGTTTTGTATTGGGCATCTTCTGCAATTTGCGCTTCATTTCACAGCACAAAGCACAAGACATATTTAAAGTTCAATAAGAACGAAATTTACAAACAAAAATATGAATAACCTCAAAAAACACACCTGCGAACCTAACGTCAACAACAACTGCGTCACTGCATGACGTAAAAGCCTTCAAAATGTCTGCGCCCGTAGCGTCCCTAGAAAAGTGGACGCGCACTCGTCGAAGCTCATTCTCCCCTACTCTATATCTCTGGTCTTACGATTTCCACTCATCTGAATTTTCTGGCCTACATATGCCGTGGTTCGAATATAACAGAGAGCGACACAAAAGGAAAAGGAATAACTAAAAACCACTGAATTGATTTCCTGCAGCCTTTGGATGTAAAAAAAATTGGCCCTTTATCTAATTCAGGAGTTTCTTTACAGACGCACTGTATACCTACAAGTACAAGCTTTTTCTAAATACTAGATCCTGATGACCCTTTTGCCTATTCCTTATTTGTTATTAAAAGTTATAGCAAGTATCAATATAGTGATTAGAGATTTATCTCGTCAAAATTAAAAAAATTACCAGTCTATGATTATATTTAGAAAATCTACAATGTTCGAAATTCGGGGATCTGCACAATACCTAAGGTAAAAAGATCAGTTGTCCTTAATATTTGTCTACACGTACCGATACGCACTAGCTTTAATCAATTTTACATATGGTACTGTATGAGTTCAAGGAAGCCAACCCCTCTAGACTCTTTCTCCTTCTTGAATAATGCGGGCTCCTTGGGCATATTCCTCTGAGCGAAGGAGACATTCGAATCCTGTTTAGATTCGGCCTTATTTCCTGGCATTATGGACTGTCTCCTGGCCAGTTTGGATTTCTTTTCAATGTCTTCGATCCTGACGCCGGGCATCACCAACATCCTCCTCGAAGCAGGCATCACCGCCATCATACGGAACAGGTGAGAGACCTCATCCTTCATCTTGGCACTAGCCATCATGGCCACGATGTTCTTCTCGCGTCTCTCCAGCGCCTTCATGGACTGGGCTTCATCGAATTCTAACCTCTCGATCACGTCCAGGCACTTGTCCAGGTACTCCTGTAGGTTAGGGTCCTTCAGCTGTTGGCATATCTCTATAGCGGAAGCAACTTCGGACTTGGCGTCGTTCTTGTTGTGCAGCGAGAGGTTGATTTTGACCAATAGCATCATGGCGTTGATGACCCACTCCAGATTCTCGCCCTTGTTGCCTTCTTGGATGCACTTCCTGGCGTATACGGTGGCCAGCTCCCACCGCTTCAGCTCGATGAGGAACCGTGACAGTTCGTGGTAGCACCAGCACGTCTCGTTGCTGGAAGTGGCGAACTGCAACCGCTTCTCGAATGTGTGTATTAACTTCTTGTAATCGGCGAACACATTCCGAAACTGCTCTATTACTGAATCTGCGGATGGTGGCCGACTCACCGGCATGCCGAAAGCCATGTATATCCTCTTCTCTTGGTCCCACAGGAACTGGTCCTTGTTGACCCTGTTGAGCTCGTAGAATCCTCGACACACGCACCTGTATATTTCTTGCAGGTATATTTCCTTGTCCATCAATAGGCGCTTGGATTTAATGTCACAGTACAGTTTGAGTTTCTCTGCGGTGTCTAATACAATGCGGAGTTTCTTGTTTTTCAGAGCATCTTGCATTTTGAAGAGAAGCACGTCTGCTTCCTTCTTGACGTTTTGTTGTTGGATGTTCAACTCTTCCTTTTGTCTAGCCTTTAAAACACCTGACACTGTAGCCTCTTGGTATTTAATAAAGTAAAACGGTCTTCTAGTTCGTAATAGTTCCTGTTTGTACGATACAATGTTGTATCCAGTTTTAGCCAATTGCAAAATTATCGCCGATCCCTTTTTATTAGGACATACAGCTCCTGGTTGAGACCTCAGCTTCTTCAAGAAGATCTTGTCCAAGTACATGGAGTCCAAGTACTTCTCCGCCATGTAGTTTTCAATATTCGTCGTGTAGTTCTGCAAAGGCTTGAATATGAATGGCTGAGTCAAGTGCGGGATTTGATTCTCCTCGGCCTTCTGGCTGTGTAGACTGTCTTTTATACTCAAACGTTTGTCCCCGCTAATCATAAAAGATTCTACCTTCGCGGCCTTCTTTATCTTTCCCAGAATAATGGGTTCCTTCGGTAGCTCCTTAAAGATATTGTTAAACTTCCTCTTCTTCTTCGTTTTGGGTTTGGGCTCGAAAGGCTTCTGAGCCTCGTAGTTCCTCTTAAAAGCCAGTCGTCTGATGAAGCGGAAGTGGTCGCGCAGCGGCCTTCCGGCCCGCTCTCCGACACAATTCTCGATGGCGTTCGAACAATGCATGACTCCCATGTCGAAGTTGTCAGGTTTCTGTCTTATGGGAAGGAGTCTGGTGTTCTGAAGTAAACCTTCTTCGAATTCACAGCTGAGGTATGTGTTTAAGGCCTTCTCCGCTAGCGCATCCAAATCGTCAGGGTTTATCTTCAATGCTTTGTTGACGTCGTCGAGGGCTCCCTCGTATAGGCAAGCTTTTGCTCTCGACCGAGATCTCCCGATGAGGGCCCTTCTGTCTAGAGGGGTATTCTTGAGGGCTTCGTCGAAGAACTTCAAGGCCCTCTCGTACTGCTCTAGTCTTGAAATGTAATACCCGAGTTCTCGGAATAGCGTCTGGAATCCGTAGATTTCATCTTTTTTACCAAAAGCATACGTCCCCATTTCGAATAATGTTTATCTGATTTTACTTTGACAGTTTTGATGTCATACATGTTCGTAACATCAGGTGTTATGATTTTAGTTGATAGATTAAAAGGTGCCGCTTAAGTACGTAAAACTATCCAGGGTCGGTGGTCGAATTTCTCACAGCATCGTCTGAACAAGAACCTAAATAAACATCAGAGCGGATCTTGGGGTTCTGAAAGCGGGTCCGCCTTCACATAACCTATCCCGAGAATAACAAGAACAAGGCTCCAGTCATTTTGTCCAAAAATAAGGCGAAGAAAATAAAGTGAACCGGGAAAGCCAAATTTTTTATATGTTGTGGGGGGTGCTTAGAAAAGCTTAACTTGAGATTTGAGACCAAGATTTCCTATGTGCATTTTCCGCCATCTTGGAAAAAGGGGTAAATTTTTGTTTTTGCTATAACTCGGTTCCCCGTCGAGATACAGAATTGCTGTTTCATTGTTTTTTGTTCCTCTTTCGCCGATCTAAAATTTAGGTCCTATAAACTTTTCACCTATTATTGTTAGTTGTTGAGTTAAAAAACAAGAACAAAGACAACTTTATACAAATGCTCCGCCTTCATTTTGTACAAACCGAAATCAGACTCGAACAAGCCTTTGAAGATGCGGACACTCCGATCGTAGGATTTTGGTGCGCTGAATTGGAATCCGAGGTCCAAATTTCTCATTTGGCTCCTGTTTTCGAGATATCCGAACCTAAAAGTGTCAAAATCGAGATTTTTCGACATATTTGAGGTTATGTTACATGGATATGTACATTTTTTGCTAAAATCATTAATCTTAAAGTACCTACTATACTTATTCTTTAAAATGCTCTTAGATTTATCGCGATATCATTTTTCGTGTTTGAAAAATCGCATGTTGAAAAGTAGTTTGGAGTTATTTCTCAACTTTTCAATATACTAACAGCACAGCACCAAGATCCAAAAGTGATTTAAAACACAATTTATATTTAATTCTTCCTCTGTTCGGTATTACATATGACTCCATTCTTTTTATCGAAACAAAATAAACAATATAAGACATTGAGTCGACCGCAATGTGGCACTTGCAGTAATATTCTCACCTTTGTGGCCGGTTGCACAACATTCATTCAGTTTATGGCGACAGATTGAATCATGCCTTATTAAAGCAGTCAGAGATGGTCAGAGTAGGTAATTATTACAGCAAATGGGTGTCGTATTGCACAATGTCATCCAAAATCATTAACACCAGGGACTGATCCACTCGTAATATAAAACAAGCAAAGCATCTAAAGCCTGTATCAGACAATGCAATTCACTTGCAGCGACAACATTGCGGGGATTTTGTTACGGGGATAAAATTGCATGCTTATTATCACACAATGGGACAGAATTGCTGCAATTCGTTTATTTTGCAGTAGTATTACCAACTGTGCGTTGTTTAACATGTAAAATTTCTTGTATGTATCTTGTAAACAATTATTTTTTATTCAAGCAAAACATTGCAATGGATGAAATTTTAAAAATAAATTGCTGTATAGTTTTAATAGTGGCTTCAACGGTGTTACTAACAACAACCATGATCAACAGCCAACAACAGCTAGNACATGTAAAATTTCTTGTATGTATCTTGTAAACAATTATTTTTTATTCAAGCAAAACATTGCAATGGATGAAATTTTAAAAATAAATTGCTGTATAGTTTTAATAGTGGCTTCAACGGTGTTACTAACAACAACCATGATCAACAGCCAACAACAGCTAGATTGGTAATAAACAAATCTTCATAAAAGTAACCAGAATCTATGCAATTTTGTTACATGGAATTGAGCATGTTCTAATTCATGCAATTCAGTTCCCGGGACAGAATTACATAGTCTGATAAAAAAAATTTAATGGATTTTATCGCGGCAACCAAATCATTGCATTGTCTGATACAGGCTTAAGGCATCATAAACTTTAATTTAGAATATTTTTATTTCTTGCTTTTGCCTAGAACAGAATTTACCACTCTATTTAAAAACAGAATTTTCAGTTAAAACTTTCATTGCCTTTCTGAAAATTTCTAAACGCGAACGCGTTCCGAGAATCATTCTGTTCCATACTATGAAATTTCTATAGCACAGTGACTAACACTATGAATAACCCAAAATAGTCAAACAAAGGATATTTTGCGGTAAGCTTATCTGCCTATTAGATTTCAGTATAGTCAGCCTCTAACAACAAATCACGCGTAATATTTTAGAAGTTTATCAATGCAAAAAATTAGAGTAATAAATTTTAAGGTCTGATAATACTCAATAAATACTTTCTATGAACATATTCCAAATTATGGCACCACTTATTGACAAAATATATAAATTTTACCTAAAATTAAATGGCGTTGGAATAAGATTAATGCTACTCGACTAGATTTTAGGTAGAGTCGGTACTACATATACAGGGTGATTCAAAAAACCGCTGACAGACTTCTAGGGTAAGTAATACATGAAAAATTAAGACGAAAAGTCATAATAAACATAGGGTCGCAAATGCCTCCTAAACGAGATACAGGGCGTCAAAGTTTCTGTAAAACTAAAGCGTAAAAATGACAAAAAGAAGCTTATAATCTAGTTTACTTAACTCACTTGTACACATTGACATTAGTGACAGGCGATGTTTAATTTTATTTTGAATAGCACAAGCCTACTATGCGAAACTAAAATGAATGAAAATAAAATTGGATTTACAAATTTTNTAGGACAGAATTTACCACTCTATTTAAAAACAGGATTTTCAGCTCAAAGTTTCCTTGCGTTTCTGAAAATTTCTATAGGCCAGCGATTTTCGAGAATCACTCTGTATTCACAAGAGTTCCATACTATGAAATTTCTATAGCACAGTGACTAACACTATGAATAACCCAAAATAGCCAAACAAAGGATATTTTGCGGTAAGCTTATCTGCTTATTAGATTTCAGTATAGTCAGCCTCTAACAACAAATCACGCGTAATATTTTAGAAGTTTATTAATGCAAAAAATTAGAGTAATAAATTTTAAGGTCTGATAATACTCAATAAATACTTTCTATGAACATATTCCAAATTATGGCACCACTTATTGACAAAATATATAAATTTTACCTAAAATTAAATGGCGATGGAATAAGATTAATGCATGAACTAGATTTTAGGTAGAGTCGGTACTATATTTGTTGAGATAGAATTCCAAGAATAAGCCAATAAAGTTCTGTTATGGGAGCTACTGTAACAATTTACCACGACAGGGGCGTGCCTTGAAATTTTCCGCCGATGTCTTTCTACCTCGGGCGTCGAGTGCGGTTAATTGATGCAGGAGTCTTCTCGGAATTCTATCTCAACAAATATCGTATCGACTGCACCTAAAATCTACATACATAATATAAACCACACCTTCTCTAGATGTCACTTCTAATTTCAAATAAGTTCATGTATTATTTTTTTTTAAACAAGCTTTTAGTGACGTCATTTTATTTTCGTATTCTTCTCAGCAAACCCTTTCATTTGATACCCATATCATGGAGTGCATAAAAAATAACTGGTCCGCCATATTGGATTTAGAATGACGTCACTTATCTAACCAGGCATTGTCATCCAAACTAAAAGTGTATGCAGAATTTCCGCTCAATTAGGTGGGGATGCCTGTTTTAAAATTGCTTTTAAAAAGCTTGTAAAAAATTTTCATTTTCTTTCAGTGAAGGCAAACAAAATTCTTGGAAATGATATCGACATTTTGATTTTTCTAGAAAACTGTTTGAATTAGCTTAATATATTTAGAATAAAGTAAAATACTGGTAATTTTTATTCAAAATCGTTGATTATATTAAGTTTTTGCAACTATTGAACTTGTTTTACGAGAACAAGATGGATCCGAAAAGTCTGGAAATTATGGTATTTTTCGCGCACTAGTCAATTTTACGTCAGAACCTGACATTTAGTGAACATCTTAAAAATGCAACAATTTTGAATAAGTTTAAGAAAATGAAAGAAATGTTAGGTATTCTATTTTTTATACTACCTAATATGTCATATGTTCTTTTATTAATAGTTCCAAAATGTTAAAATTTGTTAAGAACCTCTGGAATTTTCCACTACATAAAAAGAGGTGAATTGTTGCAGCTGTAGATAGCACGCCTTCCGCTGTTTTCATTTTTTGTAGTAAACAGAAACAATTTGAGTTTTTATTATGGAAACGTCTGTGTTTTATTACTTACAATTATTAGTCCTTGATGTCTCTGGAGCCTTTAAACTGTTTTTATTTTTATAAAAATACATTTTGTCTGGGATGTATGTGTTAATAGAAGCGACAAAACATGTTAAAATGGTCCATCAATGCAATAACAATGATTTAATGGACATGGTGGTACATATAGCGATTTTGTAAACACTTGCAAACAGAACCAGCCGAGCTATGGCTGGAGTCAGCGGTTGCAAAAATGTTTCTTCATGTTATTGTGATAGTAAACACAGTCCAAGTTTGTAATCATCCTGAATACATATTTATTATCGTAATTGCATAAATAAGGTAAAAGTTATGTCTGTCATGGTCGGTAGTTTCCACTTATCATTGATTTAATTCCGAATGTGGTAGCTTTAATTTCAGTCAATAAATTTGACTATTTATTGTAAAGTGTAAATAAGGCGCCACAATTATTGCGAATTGAGATTTGAGACTAATACTTGATAAATGTGTTATTTTGACTACCTTTGTTTGTTGCACTACCTCTGTTTGTCACAGAGGATGCCTCTAATGACAATAAAGATGGTCGATAACAGAATTTGTAAGAACAAGACATCCCAGGCATACACGACGGCCATCGATTGCAAAACAACCAGCTCACATTAAGTAACTGAAATACCGAGGTTTTATTACTCCAAATGAAATCTTCACGACTGATTGTTTATTGTTTTTCTGGAGGCGGTTCAGATGCCGAACTCTCCTCTTGCACCAGCGGCTTCAAGTGGGTTTCCTCATTTACATGTTCGTGTACCAACA